GAAATATGGCATACCAGATGATATCCTCCTTAAGCTTCCTAAGGAAGGAGAACGAGCTGTAATCCACCTGAGGGGTGCGTGACCCTCTACTTAAAAATGTTTGAGTATGGTTTTCGTCTTCCTGTTCACCCTTTAGTGCAGGAGTTCTTAGTCCAAACTGGGTTAGCTTCTGCTCAAGTGGCCCCCAACAGATGGGGAGTTATCTTTAGTTTAGTCGTTCTATTTTGGCTAAGGTGTAGGGAGGTAGACGATTTGGACCTCCTCGAAATCGATCAACTCTTAGCCTGTTTTGAGGTTAAGCGTATATCTAAGAAGCCAGGGAGGTATTGTTTGTGTGCTAGGAAGGGCGCGGGAGGCATTCTGAAGGGTCAGACCTCCATAAAGAAATGGGTTGGGAAGTGGTTCTTCGCCTCCAGTGCATGGCTGGCCAAGAACGAGTCCAACCTACCTTTCTTCAACGTCCCGTATAGGTTTAGGAACTTAGGTAAGGAGTGAAGTCTTCACTTGCTTTCAATTATTGCTTTTCATAATTTAACTCGTAACTATACCAATTTCAGTCGCTATAAGGTTGAACCCTCAACTCTCCGAGCCGACCTTCAACGCTCTGAAATTTTTCAAAGACAGATTCAAAAGTTTTAAATAGATCAGCATGCTTATCACAGACAAGCTTCTTCTCAACTCCGGACTACTTGATTACAATCCTCTCCTAGCCCCACCCGAAGCTTAGAGACCGAACTCGGAACTAGGTTGGTGTACTTTTGGTTTGGTTTTGTACTTTGTCATACCTTTGCTTTTCTTCGATACTTATCTCTCGTATGTTTTCTTTGAAACCATTGTTTGTGGCTTTTCCCAGGATGTTCGGCGCAAGCGCCCACGCGCTGGGCAGGCTTCCAAGAGTAAGGAGGCACCTACCTCTGTTGTGGGTGACCTTCCCACCGAGGTCGACGTGGTTGAGGTCGAACACGAAGTAGCTTCGACGCAGGAGGCGACTGCGGTTGGAGCCCCTCAGGATCAAGAGATCCTTGAGGTTTCTCCCCTTAGGGAGATTTAGAGGAAGGCTTCCTCCAAGAAGGAAGAAGAAGCGCAAGGCTCACCACTCCTAGGACGAGGTGGGTAAGTCCCTTCAGAGACTGGGTAGACGACCCTGAAGCCAGGATGGACGGCACCTCGAATATCGACATGAGTTTCAAGGTGGAACCTTCGAGTGTCGGGGTGAGGGAGAACACAATGCGGATATCGAGCGCCTACCTCGACCGTTGCTGGAGGAGGGCATCCAAGTTTGTTAGCGCCCCAGGGTCAGCTATTCAACGAATGTTGGATTACTCGGCCAAGGTAAGATCTGATGTTACTTTATCTTTGCATAACCTTCTCAGGGCTAACCATTGCTTGTTTTTTGGTGTCTTTTTTTTTTCAGACTCACGCTGCCATTTGTCAGGTCGCTCTTATGATGAAGGCCGAGCTGGAGGGGCACAACCTTCTCACTGTGAAGGAGCGGGAGGCTTCCTCGGCTGCTGTTGTCCTGGAGAGAGAGCTCAAAGAGGCTCGTGCGGAGGCTCAGGCATGGAAATCCTCCTCTGAGGCTGACAAGGCCAAACTCAAAAGTGCTCAAATGGAGGTTGCTCGGCACCTGGAGAACCTGAAGGGCGCGCACGCTGTGGCTAAGTGCCTTGAGAAGGAGAAGTT